ATACTGAAGCCACACTTTAAAATATAAAAAAAAAAATAATAATAAAAAAAAATAATACTTTGTTCGTTTATGCAATAAAACTCATGCAAACCAAGCAGCAACTGCCAAAGTTTGACTGAACTATCCAAATATTCGTGGGGCCACTGTAGTGTGCTTTGTGTGTGTGTGTGTGTGTGTGTGTGCAATTTGACATGGGTATGACATAGGTATTACAACGAGAAGGTGATTTATGAGGACATTTTGAGTGTCTCCATATTTCAAAAGACTTATAAATCATTCAGAATGAGTCTTTTTGAAAATCTAAAAATGCAGAGTTTCCTGTGAGGGGTAGGTTTAGGGGTAGGGTTGGTGCAGGGCAATAGAAAATACGATTTGTACAGTATAAAAACCATTATGCCTATGGAGAGTCCCCATAAACCATAAAAACAAACCTGTCTGTGTGTGTGTGTAAAAAAAGAAAAAAAAAAACCTTGGAACATGGGAGACAAACATTTTAGAACAAAGTTATCACAACATGGGCTTATGAACATCAGAACTGCAAGTGAAACAGCAACCGCAGGTAAGAAAAGTAGGTCAACCAGTTCTGAGAGAGAAGCAACATGTCATGCTTGCACAAATATACATTTCATAGACACACACAGACAATCTCTTTCACTGTGGCAGCTGGCTCAGCTAGAGGGAAGCTGAGAGTATATGTACAAGAAGGCAATGTTCACTTCTGTCATTTTTTCTGAACAAATATAAGCATATATATTTAAAAGCGTATGTGAACTTTTTAGAAAAGAAAATGAAGTGTAACTGACTGTAAATAAAAAGAACCGTACTGGATTGAGTCCAGAAGAAAGAGAAAGAGAAAAAATGCACATATACAAACTCTTAATGTTCAAGAGAAGATGTGCTAAGAACAACTGAAAAACACTCCCTATTGAACTTTAGGGCAGAACTTGAACTTAACTTGAAAGGCAGAAGATGAATATAAGCATCTCAGAAAGAACAGTTTGGGCTTACAAAGTGTTTGGTTAAAGGCTGAAAAGTCAAACTGTATACACTGTTGTTTGGCTTCTTTGAAGAACTAATTCAGCTGTTGACAGTATATAAGCCTACCTGTAGAGTAGAAGCGGCTGAGTCGCTGGTCTCAGTCAGTCCTGTGCTCCTCGGTATACTGGACACCATGTATCTCGCTCCCTTTGGCACAGGCTGTCTGACCACCAGCTTTCCTTTCCTGGTCTCTGCCTTTAATTCAAATGCTGTTTGTGTTTTCTCAGATGTATACAGACTAAAAGAATAAGTGATATGTGAATTGGAGCCTTCATCTCTATCTGTCGCGTTTAATTTTACAACAAGACTTCCAACTGGTGCGTTTTCTGTTAGATTTATAGTATAACTGTCTTTATCGAATTGAGGGGCGTTGTCATTAGTGTCCAGAACGCGCACAATAATGCTAGCGGTGCCAGAGCGCGCGGGGACTCCTCCATCCACAGCAGTGAGTATCAGATTATGAATGGCCTGCTCCTCGCGATCTAAAGCTTTTTTCGATATTAAATCAGCAAATTTTGAACCATCCCTCCCTGTCTGTATTTCAATATCAAAGTTTGCACTCTCACTCAAATGATAACTTTTAATGGAATTTGAACCTATATCAGGGTCAACCGCATTACTTAGAGAAAACCTCTCGCCAACAGCAGTAGATTCGGAGACGTCCAAATTAATCGTATCCCTACGGAAGTAAGGCGCATTGTCGTTAATGTCCATTATTTCCAATTCAATATTAAATATACGAACTGGGTTCTCAAGTATGACTTCCATTTTTAAATAACAAACTGTTTTTGATGTGCAAAGATACTCTCTGTCAATGCGCTCCAAAATAAACAGGTCTCCGCTGTCTTTGTTCACATCCAGGTATTTCTTATTTGCAAGGATATCTAACCTGATTTTTCGTCTTCCTAACGTTTGCACATCGATTCCTAAATCTGCAGCCAAATTCGCAACCACAGAGCCTACCTCCATCTCCTCCGGAATAGAATAATGGGTGACAGACGACGCCGTGTAAACCAGTGCCGAAAGCAGAAGTAATGTTGCGACGTACTTCTTCATTGTAGGCTGCACATCCATTCTGTCTGTTCAGCTTGTTGTCTTTGCGAGCCCAAAACACAGCTGTCCTTAACAATGATGATCGCAAATGCAAGGCATTCAGCAGATTCAAATATTGACTTAGCTTCCACCTGCGTTCTACAGAAGTGTCACAGCGTTAGTCAATGCAGAAAGCCAGCAGAAGCACTTGCATCCCCGCACGCTTTTATAAAGACTCGCTGGTGAGCATGAACTGTCATGGCGACTACTAAATAAATAAATGTAAATGGTCGTTTTTGTTGGGGCACAGCGACCCGTTGCGTATGTTTTCAAGAATTACCACAAATATATAAAATAAATTCAAAATAACATTCGTAACTCATTTTCATCATCAGAGCGGAAATGTGTAAACTAAAAATATGAGAATACAATCGAAATGAAATAACAGAGCACTACGTTATTTTAAATAAATACTGAACTTAAAATTCAAATGTATTTTTATGCAGTTCAAGTTACCTGTAGAGTAGAAGCAGCTGAGTCGCTGGTCTCGGTCAGTCCTGTGCTCCTCGGTATACTGGACACCATGTATCTCGCTCCCTTTGGCACAGGCTGTCTGACCACCAGCTTTCCTTTCCTGGTCTCTGCTAGAAATAAACTGTACCAGTAGGCATCGTTGGAGACCAGAGTGGAATCCGCGATGGTCGAGTTCCTCTCGCTGATCACACTGTTCCTGCACGGAGGAGCCGCTTTGCTGGGCTTCGTTTTCTGACACTTCAGCACGATGGTGACCAATATAGTGATGAGTAAAAGAAATGAAACAGAGCCCAGTCCGATCACCAGATACAGGTTTAAATCGGAGAAGATGTCATATCCCAAAGGCACCTCAGTCATTCCATTGTCAGGATTCAGACTGAATGTCTGCTGTGTTTTTTCTGACGTATACAGACTAAAAGAGTAAAATATATCGGAATTTGTTCCTTCATCTTTATCAGTGGCGTTTAATATCACTACAAGGCTTCCAATAGGCGCGTTTTCTGTTAGCTTTATATTGTAACTGTCGTTATCGAATTGAGGGGCGTTGTCATTCGTATCCAAAACGCGGACAATAATGCTAGCAGTCCCGGAGCGCGCGGGGACTCCTCCATCTACAGCAGTGAGTATCAGATTATGTGAAGCTTGTTTTTCTCTGTCTAATGACTTTTTCAGTATCAAGTCAGCAAACTTAGATCCGTCTCGTCCAGTCTGAATCTCAATACTAAAATGGTCGCTCTCACTGAGATAGTATGTCTTTACCGAATTTGAACCAGTATCAGGATCTACAGCATTAGTGAGGGAAAATCTCTCTCCTATTGCTGTGGCCTCTGATATGTCTAAATGCATTGTATCTCGTCGGAAACGTGGCGCATTATCATTTATGTCCATTATTTCAAGTTCAATATTAAACATTCGAATAGGATTCTCTAATGTGGCATCCACTTTAAGCAGACAAGTTGTGACCGATTTAATTGGGCACAAATTCTCTCTATCAATCCTTTCTAAAATGTACAGCTCCCCAGTATCTTTGTTAACGTCAAGATATTTTTTATTTGCGACGACATCCAAACGTATTTTACGTTTACTAAGGCTTTTCAAATCCAATCCCAAATCAGACACCAAATTTGCAACCACAGTCCCTTCGTCCATCTCCTCTGGAATTGTGTAGTGAGTAACAGCAGATGCTGTCTGAAATACAGCCGCAATGAATACGAAGATCGAGACGTACCTTAACCAAAGCCGTGCTTTCGGTTCCATTGTTTTGATTATCCTTATATTGAACACAGAAAGCAGGTCGAAAGAGTTCCAAAACGTGGATTTGTTTCAAGACAATAATTCGCGCAATGACATGTAAGAAAATACAACTGGACCAATAAATGAAAGAGCGAATAGTCCTGCCTGAAAGAAAGAAAGACTGCAATGTTGCCCACAAATGAAGAATCCGCAATGGCAACGACGACGGCAGTATGACTAGAAAAGTATTTTCTTGGTGGACAGCGACTCTATGCGCACAGGAGTGAGGAGTGCAGTGTAAAGAGTAACATTAGAAAAGTGTAACATTAGAAAAGTATTTTAAAATATTTCACGTTGGTTAAGGTATGAATCAAAAACTTTAAAATAAAATGAAAGAAAAATCAGAATATCTATAATAAAGCATTTCGTATATGCAAACCAAAACAAATGACAAGTGCAAGTCGGGTAATTTACAAAACTGTGTGCCAATAAAAACGCTTTATGTCAAAGGTGATTAACGCAAGCAACAAGTCTCCTAACTGAACGCGACAAAAATTTAGAGGTTTAATGCAGCTGAATTATCTCCGAACAATAAATAACTGCATTGCAATGCGTAAAATTGATGCAAAATATTACTTGTCTCCTGCGCGGATTTATTGACAAGTACAAGCTAAATAAATGCAAATACGCATACGCAAAGTTGAAGCTAAAGGAACATTTTACTTCACCAGGAAGAAAAGATCCGTAGATTTTATTTGACTTTTTTATTATTATTATTCACTATGTGGCAGTGCTTACCTGTAGAGTAGATGCAGCTGAGTCGCTGGTCTCGGTCAGTCCTGTGCTCCTCGGTATACTGGACACCATGTATCTCGCTCCCTTTGGCACAGGCTGTCTGACCACCAGCTTTCCTTTCCTGGTCTCTGCTAGAAATAAACTGTACCAGTAGGCATCGTTGGAGACCAGAGTGGAATCCGCGATGGTCGAGTTCCTCTCGCTGATCACACTGTTCCTGCACGGAGGAGCCGCTTTGCTGGGCTTCGTTTTCTGACACTTCAGCACGATGGTGACCAATATAGTGATGAGTAAAAGAAATGAAACAGAGCCCAGTCCGATCACCAGATACAGGTTTAAATCGGAGAAGATGTCATATCCCAAAGTTCTTTTACTCTAATTTCTCCATTGTCAGGATTCAGACTGAATGTCTGCTGTGTTTTCTCTGATGTATACAAACTATAGGAGTAAATTATATTAGAATTGGAGCCTTCATCTTTATCTGTCGCGTTTAATTTCACTACAAGGCTTCCAATAGGTGCGTTTTCTGTTAGATTTATATTGTAACTGTCGTTATCGAATTGAGGGGCGTTGTCATTAGTGTCCAGAACGCGCACAATAATGCTAGCAGTCCCGGAGCGCGCGGGGACTCCTCCATCCACAGCAGTGAGTATCAGATTATGTGAAGCTTGTTTTTCTCTGTCTAAAGACTTTTTCAGAATTAAATCAGCAAATTTGGACCCATCCCTTCCTGTTTGTATTTCAATGTCAAAATGTTCGCTCTCACTCAAATAATACGTTTTAATCGAATTCGGTCCAATATCAGGATCCACCGCATTACTGAGCGAAAATCTCTCCCCAGCTGATGTAGATTCTGATATATCCAAACGGATCGTATCCCTCCAAAACTTGGGAGCATTATCATTGATATCTGTAATTTCAATTTCAATATTAAACATTCGAACAGGATTCTCGAGTATCACTTCCATTTTGATAAAACACGTCGCTGTCTTACCACTGCAAAGATACTCTCTGTCCATCTTTTCTAAAATAAAGAGCTCTCCGGTTTCTTTGTTGACATCCAGATACTTTTTGTTTGATCTAATATCGAGTCGCATTTGTCGTCTGCTGAGTGTTTTCACATCCAGTCCCAAATCTGATGCCAAATTAGCGACAACGGAGCCTTCCTCCATTTCTTCTAGGATGGAATAATGTGTAACAGCGGACGATGTGTCCAAAATAGCGAAGAAAAACAGAAGGACCGTTACATACCTCCAAAACTGTGACTTTACGCGTCCCTCCATTCTGCAGCATTTGAGATATTTCTATTCCTCGCGATCATGAAATTGATTGAGAAACGAATGGCGCACAGAGCGAAGCTCTTGTCATGGCGCGTTCTTTGTGCGCTTTCCTCCTATGGAAATATGTCATGGTGAATGTGATTATGACCAAAACCGTTTACTTAGAGAACAGCGACGCTCAGTGAGTTTGATCTGAACATACACAATAAGAAAGTAACAGCCTTTCTTACAATATGCATTATATATATATATATATATATATATATATATATATCGCGTTATTTGTATGTTATGATTCTTTTTCCTGTTTTAATGGATGCCAAGCCAATATGTGATAACAGATAAAGAGCCTCAAAATATAAAAAACACGGATGATTAAAAAGAAAAGTATTACAATATAAGAGGGAAAAAGTATCTTGTATTTTCTCAGCCTGACAAGTACTGCAGCATGAACCCCGTCTAATTTTACATCCTGAAAAGAAATTGTGCGTGAACCGTTATGAAAATCTCTCTTAGATTATTAAATAGATTGTTTTACCTGTAGAGTAGAAGCAGCTGAGTCTCCTTCTCTATCTCATAGTCAAACGTCTTTAGCGCGTAAAGATTCCCGTTCTCTGGATTAATGGAGAACAGCATGGACATGGATATGTTCACTATTTCCTTCTCTATGATAAAATAGACTAGATACTGATTTTCATGGAGATCTGGGTCTATAGCAGTTAAAGAGCTCAGTAAAGCTCCAGGCGCGTTATTCTCCATAACAGGTATCGTGTAGAATGTCTGCGGGAACTGAGGAACATTGTCGTTAACGTCCAGCAGCTCTAAAGTTATAGTTTCATTATCAGATAACGGCGGGTTGCCCCTGTCAGTCACGGTAACAGTGATGTCAAATTCTGGAACCTTTTCACGGTCTAACGGTTCTGAAACTAATAATTCATAATAATTATCAGACGATTCTTTGAGCGCAAAAGGTAAATCATCAGAAATATGAATATCTACCTGCCCATTTTCTCCTGAGTCTTTATCACTCACACTAACAACTGCAATTACTGTATTTACAGGTATATCCTCTTTCACTGGACTTGAGAATGATTTTATAGAAATTTCAGGATGATTGTCATTCATATCTGTGATTAAAATCTTTACTTTACATTTCCCAGAAAGACTATTGGCTCCTTTATCTGTTGCTATAATTTCCATATCATAGATCCTGAAATCCTCATAATTAATCATCTCTTTTACTCTGATTTCACCACTGTCAGGATTCAGACTGAATGTCTGCTGCGTTTTCTCTGAAGTGTATAAGCTATATGAATAAAGTATATCTGAATTGGAGCCCTCGTCTTTATCTGTCGCGTTTAATTTCATAACAAGGCTTCCGATTGGTGCGTTTTCTGTTAGATTTATAGTATAACTGTCTTTATCGAATTGAGGGGCGTTGTCATTAGTGTCCAGAACGCGCACAATAATGCTAGCGGTGCCAGAGCGCGCGGGGACTCCTCCATCCACAGCAGTGAGTATCAGATTATGAACTGTTTGCTCCTCACGGTCCAAAGCTTTTGTCAAAATTAAATCGGCAAATTTCGATCCATCTCTTCCTGTCTGTATTTCGATGCTGAAATGAGTACTATCACTTAAGTAATACGACTTCACGGAATTGCTTCCTATATCTGGATCGAAAGCATTGTTCAAAGAAAACCTCTCCCCAGCTAAAGTAGACTCTGATATATCCAAGTGCATTGTGTCTCTCCTAAAATGTGGTGCATTATCATTTATATCAATTATTTCTATTTCTAAATTAAACATTCGAATTGGGTATTCTATTGTAGCATCTAGCTTCAGAAAGCAGGTTAATTTGGAATTGCAGAGATGTTCTCTGTCTATCTTCTGTACGACATACAGCTCTCCGGTTTCTTTGTTAATATCAAGATATTTTTTAGATGCGATCGTGTCCAAACGCATCTTCCGTCTGTTTAACGTTTTAACATCCAGCCCGAGATCAGCTGCTAGATTTGCAACCACGGACCCTTCCTCCATTTCCTCAGGGATAGAATAGTGAGTAACTGTAGACACAGGCTTTAAGGATGCGGAGAGAAGAAGACACATCCAAACGTACCTTAAAATCTGGTTCGGGGCTCTCACAATGGAATCCATAGTTTCTGAGCTCGGTGTAGACCTACTATTCCCGGTTCAAAACGTAACCTGTTTTAAAACCGACTTAGCACTGTAAAGTAAATAGAAATAATGAAGTGTTCAACCTTAAATGAAAGAACGGATTGTATAGCGAACGATGGTTGCAGCGTTGTCTGCACAATAAACAGTCATGGCGACGATGACTGTTATATATTGTAGCCAGATATGTTTTAAAGGTGAACAGCGACTCTCTGCGCACAAAGGAGAGGGGTGCACATTAATGCGCACAGGAACGAATTGCATCCATGAAGAAAGAATAATCTATATTTAAATGTGTTTTTAAATGAACTGAGCATTACTTTAAACATAAAATACGTTTTAAAAACTGAATCAGTGCACACTGTTTTTCCTGTAAAAGCAACATTTAAAGATAATCACAGTTCCAAATGTTTAATTAAAAATATGTGTTAAAATGAGAACTTTTTTAGAAGTGCCGCAACAATACGAAAGTGTTAAATAATATGACAATTTACTAAAGAAGAAAAATATATCTGAGCCTACCTGTAGTGTAGAAGCAGCTGAGTCGCTGGTCTCGGTCAGTCCTGTGCTCCTCGGTATACCTGAAATGACTTAATCGAAATTTTTGGGTGATTGTCATTCATGTCAGTAATTATAATGGATAATTTACATTGACCTGATAATGGATGAGTTCCTTTATCTGATGCTATAACCTCCATATCGTAAATTCTAAAGTCTTCATAATTAACCATCTCCTTCACTCTAATTTCACCACTATCAGGATTTAAACTAAAAGCTTTCTGTGTCTTCTCTGATGTATACAGACTAAATGAATACACAAGGTCAGCATTAGAACCCTCATCTAGATCTGTTGCATTTAATTTAACAACCAGGCTGCCTATGGGTGAGTTTTCAGTTAAATTGATGGTGTAGCTCTCCTGATCAAATTTAGGGGCGTTGTCATTTGTATCCAACACCCGAACGATGATACTAGCCGTACCTGAACGCGGAGGGACTCCGCCATCCACTGCTGTCAGTATCAGATTATGAACTGCTTGGGTTTCACGATCTAAAACCTTTTTTAAAATTAAGTCTGCAAATTTGGAGCCGTCCCTCCCAGAGTGAATTTCAATATCAAAGTGCTCGTTCTGGCTCAGATAATATGTTTTAACTGAATTGGAACCGACATCAGAATCCACTGAATTACTGACAGAAAATCGTTCATCAGCTGGTGTAGATTCAGTGATATCTAAATTGATTGTGTCTCGTCGAAATTGAGGGTTATTGTCATTGATATCTGTGATTTCTAGTTCTATGTAAAATATTCGCACAGGGTTCTCCACAATAACTTCCAGTTTTAGAAAACAAGTCGTACTCGTTTTGAGAGGACACAGATGTTCACGATCAATTTTCTCTAGTATGTACAGCTCGCCCCTGTCTTTGTTTATGGCGAGGTATTTCTTGTTAGCAATAACATCTAATCGGACGTTTCGTTCAATCAAAGCCTGTACATCAAGTCCCAAATCAGTGGCTAAATTTCCACGACAGATCCCACTTCCATCTCCTCTGGAATAGAATAGTGAGTAACAGCCAGTGCCGACTGAAGAAACACCGATAAAAGAAAAGACAGCGCCACATACCTTCTCCATGACCGGGTGTTCACATCTAAATCCATTGTCTGATCAAATGCTTATGATGCAAGGACGAAGCAGTTCACGCAGCAACAAAGAATTGGATCTGACTCCAAAAATGATTTGCAGAAAAAAAACTGTTAGTGAAGGGATAAAATATAAAACGTTTCCTCCATGTAAACCGCAATATTTTGTCTAAAGTCAGACAGACGCAGAAAACAAGGCTTCGTTGCAAAATGGCCAACTGTGATAGTGACGTTGAAACCACGCTCGCAGTGATGTACAATTTGTGAGACTACAGCGCCACTTGGTGCACACACACTGAGGTGCCTTGAAAATTGTACACAGGTGATGTTAAAATATGCACTAACATTGACAATTTATTATTGAACTTTTTTTACATAGCCTAAAAAATAAAAGTAAAATTATTGACATATTCTTACCTCAGAATGTGTGCTTCATAAGTCATAATACATGGGCAAAAAATAATCAAAATGTAGACTATAAACGTGATCTCACCTGTAGAGTAGAAGCAGCTGAGTCGCTGGTCTCGGTCAGTCCTGTGCTCCTCGGTATACTGGACACCATGTATCTCGCTCCCTTTGGCACAGGCTGTCTGACCACCAGCTTTCCTTTCCTGGTCTCTGCTAGAAATAAACTGTACCAGTAGGCATCGTTGGAGACCAGAGTGGAATCCGCGATGGTCGAGTTCCTCTCGCTGATCACACTGTTCCTGCACGGAGGAGCCGCTTTGCTGGGCTTCGTTTTCTGACACTTCAGCACGATGGTGAACAGGGCCAGAAAATGATTTGATGGAAATTTCAGGATGATTATCGTTAATGTCTGTGATTAAAATAGTTAGTTTACATTTTCCAGAAAGACTATTAGATCCTTTATCAGTTGCTATTATCTCCATATCATAGATCTTGAAATATTCATAATTAATCATCTCTTTAACTCGAATTTCACCCGTTTCTGCATTCAAACTGAACGTCTCTTGCGTTTTCTCGGAGGTATATAAACTGAATGTGTATGTTATTTCGGAATTTGGCCCTTCATCCAAATCTGTTGCATTTAACTTAACAACAAGGCTTCCTACTGGAGAATTTTCACTTAAATGTACAGTATAGCTGTCTTTATCGAACTGTGGGGCGTTGTCATTAGTGTCTAGCACTTGGACAATAATATTAGCTGTCCCAGAGCGCGAAGGCACTCCGCCATCTACAGCAGTAAGAATCAGATTATGAACTGCTTGTTCTTCGCGATCTAATGCTTTTTTCAGCACTAAATCAGCTAGCTTAGATCCATCTCGACCAGACTGTATTTCGATAGTAAAATGATCACTTTCGCCAAGATAGTAAGTCTTAATTGAATTAGATCCGATGTCTGAGTCCACTGCATTGTTCAGTGAGAAACGCTCGCCGGCTGGTGTCGATTCAGAAATGTCTAAATGCATGACATCTCGTCGAAAGTGGGGTGCATTGTCGTTGATATCTAATATTTCTAGCTCAATGTTGAACATCCTAATTGGATTTTCGATTGTAGCGTCGAGCTTTAGAAAACAAGAATTTGTAGTTTTGGATGGGCAGAGATATTCTCGGTCAATCCTTTCGACGATAAATAACTCTCCTGTTTCTTTATTTACATCCAGATATTTTTTATTTGCTATCACATCTAGGCGCATCTTGCGTTTGGTCAGACTCTGTATATCCAAGCCAAGATCAGTGGCTAAATTTGCAACAACAGATCCTACCTCCATTTCCTCTGGAATAGAATAGTGAGTAACGCCAAATGCTGGGTTTAATAAGGCAAAAATAATCAGGAATAGCAAAACGTACCTTCTCCATTTCTGTGCGATCATAAACGGTTCCATGTTTTACATAGGATACAAGTCCAATAAAATCCAAGCAAGCAATAAAAAAACTGACAATGAAATACACGGAGGAACAAAGAGACGTGCAAAGAGAGGATCACTCTACCAGCTATAGACTGTGACGTAACATTATGGTGACCAATAAGTAATTTCCATCGTGTGTATTGCTAGACAACAGCGACACTTTGTGCATAATCTAAAAACATCACATTTAATATAGTGCCAGCTCAGCTGAATTCGATTATAATAAAGAGTGAATACTGAACATATTATTCGTGGGAATTAAATGTGATGAATATTATACATTTGATTTGTCACCTTGATTTAAAAAGCATAGGCCTATACAAAACAAAATAGTATGTATAATGAGATTTTCATTAATAGTTTTACTACAGTTTAATAGTTTTTCTTACCTGTAGTGTAGAAGCAGCTGAGTCGCTGGTCTCGGTCAGTCCTGTGCTCCTCGGTATACTGGACACCATGTATCTCGGTGCGTTATCATTGACATCTAGCAAGTGGACTGTTATAGTTTCATTATCAGATAAGCGAGGATTCCCTTTATCCGTCACAACCAACATGATCTCATATTCTGGGACAAGTTCACGATCTAACGGTCCTGACACCAATAACTCATAGAGGTAGTCAGAGGTTTGGTTTAAAAGAAATGGTAAGGATTTGTTCATTGTCAGATTTACCTTACCGTTATCCCCCGTGTCTCTGTCACTGACACCCACCAGAGCTATAACAGAGCCGACTGGGATGTTTTCCTCCACGGTATTCTTAAGAGATTTTATGGTTATCTCGGGATAGTTATCGTTCATATCCTTAACATACACAGTCACTCTGCATTGACCGGAGAAATAACAGTTACATCATATTTCATGCAACAAAGGCTCAGAGCAGACTAGTAGATGATTTTACAGTGATTTAATTTTATTTTATTTCTGATGCATGTCAATATAAAAATGTAATGGATTTAATAGTTGATTAATTTAATTTCATCTGAAATACACAAAATACTTTTTTGGCTAAATAGAGCAACATAATTTCAGCTTCAGAATCTCACATGCCTGCAGCTGCTAAATGAACTTCTGCTAAGTACAATGACTGAGAGAATATAACAGCTGGATGCCTATGTTCTTTAAAGCATTTTTTGACTTGCCTCTCTTTCTGTGAACTGTGGCCGTTTCAACACATCCTCTTTTCTCTTTCTTCTAGGACTGAATGCCAGTCAGATGAATTCATGCTCACCTGAAAATTTGAAGATTTATGGACCAGAGATCTGTCTGTCTGTCTATCTATCTATCTATCTATCTTGTAAATAAAATGTTCCAGTAACTGTAATTTCTGCAATGTTGCATCTGCACTGCTCCTTCAGCTTGTTGACATGTGATGCAGGCGACCTCTAGTGGTGTTTTATAAGACCGATTTCCTTCAAATGCAGCTCGCTGATTCTTAAGACAAAACATGTCCAGCAATTGTAACTGCAATTAGGTTTAAAAATCAAAATATTTTCAATTGTAAATGTTATGAGGGATTAATAATGGAATGTATTTAACACAATTATCCCCTTCAGTTAAATGTTATCATTAATAAATCAAATCTATGACACTTATTGTCTTCTCACTATATCTAAAACAGTGTCCACATAGAAGAGTTCAATCATTTATATGCTATAAAAATAAAATAAAAAATAGCTTGTTTTATCAAAAGCAACACTTAATAATATCTCATATCAAAGTGAGGTTATTTTTAAGGACACATGCTTGTTTCATAAGGTTTTAAAGTTGTAAGTTGTCCCCACTTTTTGTCAACAACGTCGGACATTAAAATGTAATAAAATCAGGTAATATCAGGGGCAGCCGTCACTCTAAACGACCCCCTTGCCACATTCCACCTCTGCAGAGTACATCAATGAGTTGACATTCAACGTGTGTTCAAGTCATTTTTAATTATATTAAATATAAAATAGTGTTTAATTTCTCTAATAATGTATATGATCATATATTTTCTGATCCTTTTTGGATCATTTGTTAAGATGTTTAAATGTGAATATTAAGATCCTGGTGAATGTAAATGGATAGAGGTAACAACTAATTGTTTTATTTGTTAATTTAACTGTTTTTACCTTACCTGTTGTTACCATAGCAGATGCACAGCAGACATACTGTTCTGAGATGAGAGAAAATAGATCATTTGTGTTCAGATGATATATCAAAATACTTAAATGTGACTCTTGAAAAAAGCTTTATAAACAATAACATACTCACTGTTTGTTGTGTTTGTTTTAATACAGTAATTGATTGATTCAATGTAAAGTAGTTCAAATGACTAAATTCAGGTTTTCGTCACCACCGTCAGATGTTTCAACTCTGTCAGGTCGGTCACCCCCATCAGATGAATATTTTGATAATATTAGACTATGATATTTTATATTTGTTGAGGAATTGTTGGTCACATGTGAAAACGTAATCTGTCTGCTAACATGACAATGTGTTTTGAAATGTTAAAAACATCTTGATTGCAAAATAATGATGGCAAG